TCACCAGTCCAAACATCAAAACACACAAAAGTAAGAAACGAAATCGCCGCATTCTCAACATTTTTAAACGCAATTCGTTAAAATTTTATCAACAATGATGTTTCACAAAAAACTAAACAGGATATACAAAAAATACTAGCATGGTTTACAATTGATTACTTTACACACAACATCGACTTCATTGAACAAGCAAGAAAAAACTTTAGACCTCAAAGTACCAATGACGACACTGTCATTGCACAACAATCAGATTACGTTTAGGACCCTGAATGGTCTCATCCGGCACTTTTAAATTTTCCAGAAAACATCTCAAGTCAAGCATTAATTACAATATCTCTTCACCCAGATTATGTAAAAATAACATCATTAACAATTGATGCAACACCTTTAAATTATAATACATTTTTACCCGACACACAAAATAATAGCTTAAATTCAACAGTTATACATCATGAAAACCTCAATAGAACTAGAAATCTTACAGAACAAGATATTCAAACACCATCACACTTCATAAATGAAGAAATAGTCCACACAACAGTAACAGCTACACAACAAAGTATCTCACCGATACATCCAAATCTCACAACACCAAAAAATAGAATTACAACACTACCACAAGTAACCTTACAATCAACCGTTAAACCCTCGGTTGCCCCTAAATATTCACATATGGATTACCAGACATATAGACCAATGACAAAACCGTCAAGACCACGAAAAACGTTCACAAGAAGCAATTTTGCAGAACATAACTATAATTACGCACATTCATCAAAAACAAATCACCCTCCACGAAGAAATAACAACCACGTATGTTCTCACTATTGGAATCTCCCAAACACATCAACCAATTCAGTAAATTTTCAAAATAATTCACACCCTCCACAAGATCACAGTGATAATTACCCATTTTTTCAACAAAATAAGAAAAAACAACAAACGCCTTATTACACAAATTACTTGTCATCTGATGATGATGATTATTAAAAACCAGACGCACCATATACACAAGAATATTGCACACAAAGACCGCGACAATCTGAACCATCCCAAAATTTGAAAACTTACCATCAAAGTCCAACAGATATACAAAATCAACAACTAATGCATATACCAAACTCAATTAACACACAATCTTTTCAACCTATACAATCACAGAACCCAATGACTATGCATTCCTACCAACCAACTCAAATGCAAAATGAAATACCATTACCATACTACCTACAACAACATGAAATAACAAAAAATCAACTTACAAATTTTTCACAAATACCAAATGCCGCAGAATCACTACAAATGACGATAAATCCATACCTCATGGGAGGATCGTCAATAACATCTAAAAAACCATTAATGGTATTCATAGGAACAGACCCCGAATACTCAGTAGAAGATTACGTAAACGCAGTCACGGCAAATTTAATTTTTAATATAGGCCCCGAACCAATTAATACACCACTCCATCAAAAGTGGACACAAAGACGCACATCGTTAATACAAACAACACTAGATGGCCCAGCCCAAAAATGGTTTTCAGTATTACTTATAGACATAAAATCAGATTGGAAAAGATTCACACAAGAATTTTCAAAAATGTTTGATTCTGTAAGAAACAAACAATATCAAAGAGTTTTATGCAATGAAATTCGCAGGTTACCAAATGAAACAATTAAACAATTAGCAGTTCGAATCGAAACACTAGTTCGAAAAACATATTCACTTAATACACGTGATTACAAAAATACAAAAATGACAGAAATTTTAATGATGACCTTAACACCACAACTCAGGAAAATTGCTATAAAGAAAAGAGCAGCTCAACCCTCCTCAATTCGACAACCAGATTTAGATTTTAGATAACTAGTAGATAAACTAGAACAAGCAAAAATCACATTGAAACTTGAAGAAACAGAGAATCTAAAACTACAATATGTTAATCACATTGCAACAAATGCCACACACATAAATAACATACAAGAATCAGATATAGATCTATCTGAAAAAATCACTGAAATTCTAAACATCTATGAAAAGTACCCAATTAAAAAGGGTAAACCATCTTTCAAAAATTGGTGTAATTATTGCCAAAGATACGGACACAGTATTTCCGAATGTAGACAAAAACAACAAGACAATGAAAATAAACCTCAAAAACAAAAAGAACCAAATAAGTCATTTTATCAATACATGAAAAAGGATCAAAACCAACCAAACAAGAATATACATAGCAATGATAGCTCTGGAAAACCACTTCCAAGCAATCCAAATTTTTCTAGAAATCAATCACAATATAACTCTAGTTATAGAGGTAGATCACCCAAACAGAGAAATTCACGAAATTTCTCACAAAACAGATATAATCGATCGAATAGTCGAAACAACTATCCACGATCGAATTCAAACGCAACAGAAGTTGTTACTGCATCCAGTTCCCAATCAAACTCAAGGAATAGACACTTTTTCAACAACAGATTGCAAAATTCATCATGCAATAGAAATAGAAACTATTCAAAGAATAGGAATAGAAGTTACTCAAACAATCGAAATCAAAATTATCTAAACAACAGATCACGAAATAATTCAAATAATAGATCAAATTATCAGAGATCAAATGATAACTATCAGAACAGATCAAGAAACAATTCACGAAATCGGAACTCAAGTTATAACAATAGATACAGAAATTATTCCCAGTCACTTCATAGGAATAATAACCGTTACCCCGATTCTCAACATCGATATAGAAGTAACACACCAAAACATTAAAAACAAATCAACCAAGTACAAACAAATGAAGAAATAACTTCAGACCCCCCAGGTATTGATAACACGGAAAATAATGAATTACAATTAAACCACATAAATTGCGAATCAGCAGATTTTGAAAGTGATACAGATAACACTATGATATTTAATATGATAACAGCCGAAAATGACTATGAACCTATCATATACGAACAACCCTTCAGTTCACACATATACAAAAATCAATTAGAACTTCTGAATAATTATTATATGGGACCAACTAATAATAATTTACAAGTTACTCAAGAATTAAACGGAATTAACATTGTTATTAAACCTAATTAAAATGACAAAAAACAATGCTCAAATAATCATATTTATCAAAACATTCAAAAAAACAACCACAAAAAAAACTTGGTCAATCATATTTCTCTTAGAGAGCCCAAAAAAAAGAATTTCAACCACCAGATCTTGAAATTGATTTTTTAATAGACTCAGGAGAACGGTCAAATATCATTAACATCCCTACATGGAATGAAATCAGAACACTACATCTACATCCGAATCTAAAACCTCTCGAAACATCTAGTAAACTAGCAACAGCACAAGGATCAACATTAGTAGGTTATGGAGAAATCCAACTGTCCCTTGTTCCCACAAGAACAATGGAACAAAACAAGATTCTGAACAAACCATTCAAACAAACATTTCATATTACTAATATTAAACATAATATCATTGGAATACCATTTATCACTAAATACATACCCACAATAAACATCTTAAATTGGAAACTTCATATAAAAGATAAATATACAAGAGTGAAAACACAGCCTTAACATTCTTTCAAAGATTAAACAAACAACCACCATTTTTCTCAAAATTCTACCCTATTTATAATCAAGAACGAAAACACCTGAATCCATTATCAGGAAGTGTATATAATTTTTCAATAAAACAAGTTCATCAGTATGACAAAAGTCAAAACAGACAACAAATTTACATGTCAGATTTCGAATTTAGACCCATTCACAAATTTTTCAAAATAACAATCTCATCTATAAAATATGTGAAAAACACAAATTCTGATATTATTTCACTACACGTGTATAATAATACACCAAATAGAATAACACTAACCCCAGGACTCTTGGGATATTGTGAAACAAATGCTACAACTTCACCTGTAAAAGAAGTAGCACACAGAGTTAATAATATATTACAACTATTAGATATTTGTCAATCAACAATTCTTGATGAATGATGAAGAATTGTCCATAAATAATATAATAAGCAATGAAAAACGAAATACACATTATTTCACAAAAACCCCATATTTCAAACCAACATTCAATATAACAAATTATACAGAAGAACAACAAAAATTTTCAACAATGTTCAATTTTCAACATTCACAAATAACACAAGATGAATTTGATAAATTAGCTAAACAACTAATAAAATATTCGTCAGTTTACGGATCATCAAAATTTGAAGTTGGAAAATATAGCTCATCCTTACACCTTCCATTAAGATTTGACGCAGTTTTCAAAAAGCAAAGAGCAAGCAAAGTACCAATTCACTTACACGACAAGGTCAATAGATTACTGAATATTTTAGAACAATACGAAATTATATCACCAGTAAATAAGGAAAAACAACCAAAAAGTAACACCTTTATCAACCCTGTTATCATTCTAGCAAAAAGTGAATCACTAAAAATAGTTTTAGACGCTAGATATCTCAATTCACTAATTGATGAATCAAAATGTAATTGGCCTATAGAACCAATACAAGTTATCTTAACAAAGATCAATGGTAAGAACTTCACAACCGCAGATATGAATAGTGCTTACATTCAAATACCACCAGATAAACAATCAAGACAATTAACACAATTTGTAATTGGAAATCAACAATATGAATTTAATCGATTATTCTATGGAATATCCATAGGACCAGCAGCTTTTTCAGCTTTTATGACTAAAATTTTTAGACCACTAATACTCAAGAAAAATTGCAATCACATTTTAGATGATATTTTCATGCAATTACAAACTAAAGACGAAATAATTTACAGTTTTGGAACAATATCACAAAATACTTCAGAACGAAAATCTGAAAGCAGCCCCAGATAAATCACATTTCTTCTTAACACGCGTTAAATTTTTAGGACATAATATTGAACGAAACACTATCACTCCATTAAAATCACGCATAGATGCAATTCAAACACTAGCCAGGACCACATGCCCGGACTGCGGGATCCCCATCACAAAAACAAATGTAGCAAGACACAGGAACACGGCGTGTCCGGGGAGTGGCAGTCGAGACCCCCAGGGGTTGTAAACGACTTACAAGACAAGATGATGATGATGATGATGATGATGATGATGATGATGATGATGATGATGATGATGATGATGATGATGATGATGATGATGATGATGATGAAGAGGAACAAAAGAGAGAAGAGACAGCGAAGGCAAAGAGAGCGACATGAGAAGTGGATGAAGGACGCAAGAAACAAAGGAAGGGAGGAGACTACCACGCTATGGGCTTGGAATATCCAAAGGGCGCGAGTTAGTTTCCCGAAAAGAAACAGATTCGCGGAGATTGTTAAATCCATAGCCAACAGCAAGGCGGAAGTGGTAATGATGAGCGAACTCCAAGAACAAGAAGAAGGCTTCAAATGGATCAAGGCCAGGGAGATTTTCGGAGTATTGATCCATGGAAAAAGAAGTGGCATTTTCCTAAGGGACCAGTGGGCCTCGAAATGGGCAGATCAAGGTTATAGGAGAATAATCCGGGAGAGAAGCATCTCGATAGACGTGGATGGCTACCGGTTTATCTCGACATATCAACCACTCTGGGAAGGCCTCAGTATCGAGTTCATGAGGTACAGAGAGGAGCTCTCTACCCTAATCGAGAGCAAGGACATGGTCATAATAGGGGGCGACTTCAACTCAGTGGTAGGGGAGAGTGCTACCAGGGGGGCGGACCAGACGGCGGGTATCCACGGTTTAGGCAAGACAAATGCAGCGCGTATGAACCTACTGGAATGGTGCCAAGAGAATAGCCTAGCCTGGTGCAACTCCTTTTTCAGCCACAAGAGGAGAGGAACATGGAATCATCCCAAGAACAAAACATGGCATGAAATAGATGGCTTCATTATGAAACAAGAAGACCGGGCAAAACGCGCACGGAGGATTTTCACGGTACCGACGAGCAAGAATCTAAGCGACCATAGACCGAAAGCGATGTGCTGTACCCTGAATAACTTTCTTGACAGGAAGCGCAATAACAAGACCAGCCAACCCAAGAAGAAAATAGACTGGGAAAAACTAAGAACGATAACAAAGGCAACGGAATACGCCAATAAATTAGCTACAGAAGAGCTCGAAAACTGGACACAAACAGCAAAGGCGATGAAGAGAGTAGGAGAAGAAGTGTGCGGCACAGTAGAAAAAAAAACCCTAAACCCCGCGCTGGATAGGCACAAAGAGGAAATAGAAAGGGCTCAAAAGAGAATATGCGAACTAACAGCTCGAGCACAAGACGGAAACGAAGCAGCGAAAGAAGAGAGACGGAAAGCCAGAAAGGATTTCAAAAGACAGAAGAAAGGTTGGGAAGAAGAATGGTGGCTAGAGATCGTCAACGAAGCCAAAAGAGCCGAAACTAGCGGCGATATGAGAATCCTGTATAAAACTTTGAGAAGGATTGGCATCAAAGACAATAATAGCTGTGTTGAGGACGAATTCTTCAGCCCGGAGGAATACAAAGAGCATTTCATGCAAGTCTCGGCAACGAGATATGACCGACCGGAGGAAGAAATTAAATCCTTAATCGATAGTCTGGAACAAAGAAGGGACACTGTGGCACGAGAAGCAGCACGGAAAATAGAAATGGAATTCACAGTGCAGGAAGTGGAGCGAGAAGTTGCTCTCATGAAGGACGGCGCGTCAGGGATTGACGGAGTGCGCCTAATTGGGATCAATGCCGCTGACAACACAACAAAAAGAGAAATTTTCAAGAGCGTCATACAACTGCTTGAAACAGATCCAAACACCTGGCCTGAGGAAACCAAAGAAGGATGGGTGGTACCCATTCACAAGAAGGGCCCAAAGAACGATCTACAAAACTACAGAGGCATTTGCCTCCTTCCTTTAGCCAGCCGGATCATAGCCAGAGTACTGGCCTCCAGGATCAGACTATGGGCGGAAGAGATTGGGGCACTAGACGAGAATCAAAATGGCTTCAGGAAGAACAGATCGACCGCGGACGCGACACAGACTATAATCAGAATCGACGAAGAGACAAGTAGAGTTCTGGGAAGGTCTAACCACCATAACCCGAGAGGACCAGGAGCTGTACTCTTGGACATAAAAAAGGCGTACCCGAGAACGAACAAACCACTTTTATGGGGGATACTAGGAAAGCTAGGTATGCCTCCAAGCATCTTAGAAATCCTGAAAGGCTTACATGAGAACACACAATACCGAGTAAAAGGCAAACAGGAGCTGAGTACACCATGGACGCCACAAAGGGGCCTTCGCGAAGGTTGCGCCACCTCGCCCATTCTGTTTAATATTTATCATGCTACATCCATGAGGCAAGCCCAAATGGATCGGATAAAGGAGTCAAAGGAAGAATGCGGCTCGAAGTGGACCTGGAGACCGGGAAACAGCCTCCCCCCTGCGACGTCCCAAAGGAACCTACGGAGCAGCAACAGGATTGAATTCCAGATACTGGACTCGCTGTTTGCGGACGACTCCACTCTGTTAGGAAGTATGGAAGAGCTCAGTCGAGGTAAAGAGACAATTAAGAAAACGATGCTGAAGTATGAAGAAGTGTGTCACAATGGGAAAGAAGAATTCATAATGTTTGGAAGCGAGGCAGCGGACAGGACAAGGATGTTAGGAACTCTAATTGGAAGAAAGGAAGACATAAACGCGAGGATTAAAAGAGGCTACCATGCTTGGTCAAAGGCCAAGAAATGGTTATGGAAGTCAACACTGTCAAAGAAAACCAAGGCGGTAATTGTCCAAGCAGTAGTAGAGTCAACCATGCTATTCGACTGCTCGGTGAGACCTTGGACAACCACGGACATGTCGAAACTACAAAGAGTGGCCGATATAGCGTACAGAAACGTATGGAATAATGGGAAGGGGCTGGCGCTATACAGGATGCAGAAGGAAGGGGTGAATAGTTTTGAGATCAGAAGGCAACTAGGAATAACATCAATTCGACAGAAGATAGAAGCACGGGCACTGAAGAGGATAGGACACGTGACGAGGATGCCGGACACAAGAACAGTAAAGAAAATCACTCAGGGCAACTGGACGGAAGTAGGCGAAAGACCAAAGAATGGGAAGAACAACACTATAACGTACTGGAAAAGAATTTTAAAAGAGGCAGGGTTAGATTGGACTAACATCGAAGGTCTAACTATGGACAGGAAAAATTGGAAGGGTTTTGTAAACGAAAGGAAGAAGGCCATGGATGAATGGGAGAACAAGATGTGCGAAATACACAAAGGGGATCAGAAACCAACCAGAAGCCAAGCCGGTAAAACAGTCACGGAGGAAGGGTTCAAATGTCGTTGGCCACCATGCGTAAAGACATGCCGAACAAAGGTGGGACGAGACCATCATGAAACACGAATCCACAAGCGCAATGAACTAATATTTGAATGTGAAAAATGTCACACAACTTTCGAACAAAAAGCACAAAGAACGAACCACGCCAAGCAATGTGGAGGGGCCCCAAGAGGGACGTGCCCGGACTGTGGGAAAGAACTTAGCACGACGAACATGGCGAGACACAGAAGAACCTACTGTTCGAGAAGACATGACACAATGACTCTTAGAAGCGCGAGCACACTAGCCAGGACCACATGCCCGGACTGCGGGATCCCCATCACAAAAACTAATGTAGCAAGACACAGGAACACGGCGTGTCCGGGGAGTGGCAGTCGAGACCCCCAGGGGTTGTAAACGACTTACAAGACAAGACAAGATGATGATGATGATGATGATGATGATGATGATGATGATGATGATGATGATGATGATGATGAAGAGGAACCAAAGAGAGAAGAGACAGCCACTTACAACCACTTACAAATAAAACGAAAATCCAAGAATTCCTTGGAATGTTGACCTTCTTAAGTAAATATGTTTACAAAATGCAATTATACTTAAGACCTTTCTATATCATCCTCAGACAACAAAATAATTTTGAATGGAAAACTGAACATCAAACACAATTTGACGAAATTAAAAAACTTTTAATAGAACCAATTTCAAACACCCTTCCAGATCCAAACCAACCATTCTACGCAATGTGCGATGCTTCAAATTTTGGCATCGGCGCAGCATTATTACAATCACATATTGGAACAAAGAAGATGAATCTTATTACAGCAAATTCACGATTATTTACACAAGCTGAGGTACGACTCTCCACTTTTATGAGAGAGTGTACAGCTATATTATACACACTTACAGAATAAGAATTTCTGATACTTGGATCAAAACATCCAACAGTTTTATTTACAGATCACAAACCAATTTTATTTCTTTTTACACAAAAATCAAATCCAAATCATAGAGTTTATAGATTTCAATTAATTTTGATGGAATTGCCAAACTTACATACAGTTTGTACAGCAGGAAAAAACCTTGCATTACCAGATATATTAAGTAGAAATACACCACCAGAATTACTTACACGAAAAACTACAGTTGAAATACCAAAAAATATTAAATTTTATCTCGCGAAAGATGAAACATCACCCCGATTAGAATGCAAATATGCAGTAAAAACGGACATTGATCAACCACAAATAAATAACTTACAACTTTTCCCACTCTACCTAGATTGCCAAAATAATCACTATGAAGTTAATTTATTAGGTACATCTACGTTTAAACCAATTCCATACTCACAATGGATAAAAAATAACACTCAACAAAAAAAAAATACAACAACCGCAAAAAAAGACCTTTTCTACTAATTGAAAAAGAGAACTTAACCGATAAAATAAATTTATCAGGACCACAAACAAATGACTCAAAATACACAATAAATCAAGTTTTTAAGCTCCATGACCCACTTGACACAATCCCCAAGTCTTAAAACTAGAAATTGACAATAATTTTCTCCCACCAACAGAAAAAATTACACTTGAACTTTTGAAGCGATACCAAAATTTTGACCCAGTAATTAGACAACTAAGATCATGGCACAAGTATAAAACAAAACCAGGAAAAGTTGATACCACTAATTTAGGAAACAAATGACTCCTCCAATATTTTCGAAAATTTAATAACACAACAATAAAGGAAAATACAGACCTTTTAGAATATCAATTAGATGATTCTAAAGTCCCCTGTCTCCCCTTAAGTATGACATTGATAGCATTCAACATCTCCCATACGCAAAATACAAAAGGACACTCTGGATCAGAAAAGACATACTCAAACTTTACACAAAATTTTTATTTTCCAAGCGCCCCAATTTGGATAAAAGTATTATGCAATGATTGTATAATATGTCAATTGAACATATCCAAATCAAAAACAAATAGCACAAAGATAAGATTTTAAAGGACAAAGTTTATATTTCAACCATAGAATTTCATTCGACACAAAAGGACCAATTTCACCATCCTCTGAAAGAAATTCCTACATTATGGTCATTGTTGATGCAAGTACGCACTATGTAGCACTCAACCCAGTAACACACTGTAATGCTTATTACGCTTACACAACACTCTACGAACACTGGATAGCTAAACTTGGATTACCCGAAATTTTAGTCACAGACAACGGTACAGAATTCAATAATATTGAAATCAACACACTATGCCACTTATATAACATTAAACATAAACCACGTAAATCTCACGCACCTTGGACCAATGGATTAGTCGAAGGTATGAACCGTTGATTGCAAGAATATCTTAGATGTATCATTAATGGAAATGATACACGATACACAGAATGGTCAGCAGATGTAAAATTATTTCCCTTATCATACAATTCACAAATAACGACAACTTTAGGAATGTCACCATATGAAATGGTTTTTAATCAAAAACCAAGAAAACCAATCAAAAACAAAAATGCACAAGGTTATTGCAAACCAAATAAAGATTCAAAATGCTATAATCTACCATTACATACACAAGATGAAGATCATTTTCATCACCCACAAATCCTCAAATTAGCCTCCGGTACATATACCGACTGGATTTTAAATAAAGATAAAAAGCACAACGAAATCTAGCTAAAAGTAATAAAGAAATTGTTACAAAGGCAAAACATTAACAATCAAATTAACTCACGTTTTATGCCAGCCACAGATGTAAAAATCGGAACATTTGTTTTAATACCATTTGTTTTAATACACAAAAAGGAATCTCTAAAAAATTACAACCACTTCGAAAAGGACCATATCAAATAATTGCTAAACCCACTGAAGTAACATATAAACTCACAGATTCAACTAAAAAAGAAAATGTTCAACATCGTAACAATTTATTACCTTACTACCCAAAAGAATATGCTTTACGCAAATTAACCCAATTATATTCTTTCACCGGTTTAAAAGTTATTCAAAACAATACACATATAGAACAAGAAACAAATGTAAATGATGACAATCATCATCAACGAGCTCAAAAACAAAACACAATTCATAAAAACACAAAAACACCAGACCCAAATAAATCTGAAAAAGAAAGAAAAATAGGAAAATGATAGAAAAAAATCTTGCCACAAGAACAAAAAGAAAAATCCGAACATAGAGAATCATCACGACTTAGAAAGCAACCACGAAAAAAATACAAGACATTTATCCCACAATCTAAAATATTAAAGGAAGTCGAATTTCAAAAATGAACTTACACTTCTTTAAAAAAGTTAATAATTCGTACACTTCTCAATCATTTTAAACTTTCATATTTTCAAAATAACTTGCTACAACAGTTCTAGTTCAAATTCAGCCAATAGGATTCACTCAGAACCGTCACCTTCAATATCTCTAACACCAACCTACTAGCCGACAGATATTAATCTCCAGGCAAATCCATAACTATAACTTTACAACCTCCAGGTCAAAAATAAGCAACTCGCTAAAACTTGACAACCAAAATAAATATCACGATAATATTACAACCCTCCCCTATCTAATAATGCAAAGATCAACAATATTTTCCCAACTTAGCCCTCAAAAACCCTCCAACCAAAAATGGCAAATTAGCCTAAAGTAGAAAAGGACCATGATCATTTGGCCTAAAGTACAAGTATTTCAAAAATATTCCAGATTACCAAATAAAAATAAAGCAAAGAAGACCTCCCGAGCACCATAAAATAAGCCTCCAACTAATTTTCAAGAAGCTCAACCCACTTGTCAAAAAATCAATAAATAATCCGACCACACTTGAATTTCGCCCCAGAAATTCAAAAAATATTCGAAGAACGAATCATTTCTTAAATGCTCTTCTCCTTAACAGTCGCAACTCTAACAAACTTAAATATAAACTTTTCCATAAACTTTTTTATTCTACTTAAATTTTTGATAACATTTTTTCTTGAAACTTTCGAAGCTTTTACAATTCTTTTAATAGTTTTTTGCAACATATTTTTAATTTTCTACGCCCTATTTGAAATATATTTACAACTTTCCCAAATCATTGACCACATCCACAGGTACGATAATTTAAAGTCTATTTAAATGATACGAACAATTTTTAGTAGAACAGATATTTTTTTACTATTCGTAATTTTCATCACATTTTTATTATTCCTAATTATGACAATGTGCAAATTTGTAAAGAAAGCAATAGTCACATTCGCCTTAGCAACAATCTTTTTGATTCTATTCATCGAAGAATCTTACAATAAACATAAATCTTCCCACTAAAAATATATACATCGGACACACTTCCAAAATTGCTAACCAATCACCACCAAAACAGTCTTCACCGACATCTCCCCAAGAAAACCCAACAATACCTACAACTACCCAAAACCCCCAAATATCCATATGTATTTCATTTCAAGACAACCCGTATACTTTTGAACGACACGCCCGCTTATCTGAACCACTAGAACCAGTTCAACGACAAGCATCACTAAGTGAACCAACATATAATTTGAACTCCACATTACAACAAGATTTGAATCGAATCAGACATATTAGTCAAAATCAAAATACAGTTGAAGTCAATAGACAGATTATACACCCAAGACAAAACAGAAATTTTTAAACTCCCAGAGTCACTTTTAGCATACCTCAATCACCAACACCATCAAGTTCAGAAATCTATAGTATAACAATACCAGACACCCGCTTACCTCACAGCAAAGTACACCTAATATTCCCTCAGACTATCTAGGATCAACACCAACATCCGCACAAATACGTGAAAATCCTTTTAACCCCCCTAACACCGCCGAACGACCACCTTATTGGACAACACAATCTTACCCGCAAGGAGAACCAAACTTAGTAAATGATCAAATAGATATTTCATCAGATACAACACTATCATCCTTACCAGAAACATTATCACTCCCCTCGACACCATCAATAAGTCAAACATCACCATCATTTTTCCCATTAAATTTTCCAAATAATCTTGACGTTCGATACAGAGAACAATCAACAACCATAGCCCTACGGTTAGATTGGAATTTGTTTGTAGCACCTCCCTCACTATTCGGACAACATAACAAAAGCCACCGACTACACAGTTGGGCACTTAATAAATTACAATATAGACAAGATATCCACGAAGATATCCGAGAACACAACGTTCAAATATTACAACAAAACATTCTTCAATTAAAGTTTGAAGTAACAGTCAAAATAACCCATATAATGGCGCACACTTATGATATAGACGACAAACATTGGATATCACACATTGGAACAAATAACCCTTCAAATTGCAAAGCAGACACAAAAAGTAAAGGATATCAGGAAA